CTAACATTTTAGTTCTCAAATAATCAGCTAAGACAAAAAAAATGTCAGTTACAGTAATTGCACTGCAAGGATTTGACACTTGTGTGATAGCAAACCTGAGTTCATTGTCACTATGCAAGAACAGACAAAGCCCAGCAGAAACCTTGACGAGGATCTTCATCTGCCCCCACCCGGGAAGAGCTTCAGAAAGGAGAGACATCAGAGGCAAGAAGAGGGGTCCCTATTTGCTTCCAACTCTCAACAACACCAACGACCAGGACCAGGGACCACGACCTTCCCCCAAACCCCTGACAGGCCATCACCCTCCTCCCCCTCCTTGTCTCCCTCCTCCCCACACCTGAAATTCACTGAAGAGATGATGGAGCGGGTCAATGCTGGGCTTAGATCTACCCCCCGGCCCAATCCCTTTTTGTCCCCCATAAACCCCCCACCAGAGCGGCCAAAGGTTTGTCACCAAGCCCCGCCCTCAACAGTGCAATCAAAGTTACATTGCCCAGCCCCGCCCCCTTAGTTCCTCCTTACCACCTTCATGCTCTGTCTCCACAGTCTGATGCGTGATGTGTGAAGGGTCTGGGCTGCGAGGATTATGGCAGTGGTGACTTTTCCCAGGAGAAGCTGGGACCCTGTTTACTAGAAGGTTTTAAAAGTTCTGTACTTTTAGGTGACAGAAGGAGACATGTGGCCTGGTCAAAACACAGAGATCTGCACTCTAAAAGATCTTTAAATATAGTAAACATACCTTGTGTGCCACAGACTGCTCCCAAACATGAGGGGACAAGTAATACCTCTAAAACACTTAAGTTGGCTTTATTAAATGTTAGATCTTTAGCTGGGAAAACATTTTTAATTAATGATTTAATCACTGAGCACAGCCTTGATTTTATGTTTTTAACTGAAACTTGGTTGGACCAAAATAACAGTGGAGCTGTTCTCATCGAGATGACCCCCCCCTAACTACAGTTTTATCAGTGAGGCCAGGGTGAGCAGGAGAGGAGGAGGGGTTGCTGTCTTATTTAATGAATCATTTCAATGTAAGCAGCTATCTCCTGGAAGTTTTCAGTCTTTTGAATATGTGGCTTCACAGCTGAAGGCCCCATCCAAAGCTGTGTTTCTTAATGTTTACAGGCCTCCCAAATACTGCACAGACTTTTTTAATGATCTCAGTGAACTGCTGTCTGTGATCTGTGTTGATTTCGACTGTGTAATTATTGTCGGGGATTTTAACATCCATGTGGACAACCCTCAGGACAAAGGGACTAAAGACCTGAGTAACACTTTGGGCTGACTCAGCATGTAACACAGGCCACACATAATAGAGGACACACTCTTGACCTACTGATCTCCAAGGGCCTGAGCATTTCAAAGGTTACTGTGTCTGATGTGGGCCTGTCTGATCATTATTGTGTTTTCTTTGAAAGTAAAATCTCAGCCCACACAAATATATCAACAGCAGTGATCACAAAACGGTGTATAACTGAAGACAGTAGTGAGATCTTTAACCAGGTCTTCCCATTAACACCTGACCTGTCCAGGGGTTCAGTCAATGAGCTCGTCAATAGCTTCAATGCTAAAATGTTAAATGTTATGGACACTATTGCTCCCATTGAGGTGAAGGTTATCTCTGGAAGGAAAAAGTCTCCATGGAGAAACTCCACACTGGTGAAAAAAGAAAAAAGAGAGTGTAGGAAAGCTGAGCGCAGATGGAGAAAAACAAACCTCCAGGTTCACTATGACATCATAAAGAGATACTTCGCAATTATAATTTACAACTGAGGAGTGCAAGGAGGTCCTACTTCGCTGACATCATCACCAAAAACAGTCATAATGCTCGGGTCCTATTTGCTACAGTTGACAGGCTAACAAACCCTCCTGTGTCAGTGGCAGCTGAACTTCATTCGACCATGGCCTGCAATGACTTTGCCAAATCTTCACAGACAAAATCCAAAAGATTAGACAAGCAATTGGTACATCAACAGCAGATTCAGGATATGTACTGTGTCCACCGAAAAACTGTTTAAACACCATGAAACAGTTTCACCCTATTAACAGTAAAGATCTGGAGGACATCTTAGGTTAACTGAACTCCTCCTCTTGCTGTTTAGATGTCCTGCCAACAAGTTTTTTCAAAAAGGCCTCAAAGACTTTGGAGTCAGACCTGTTACAGATCGTCGACTTTTCTTTAATGTCAGGTGTGTATCCAGAACCACTAAAAACTGCTGTAATAAAACCTATACTGAAAAAGGACAATTTTGACAAGACACAAATGAACAACTACAGGCCGATCTCAAATCTCCCATTTTTAAGTAAGATCATTGAAAAAGCAGTTTCTCAACAGCTTAATTACTTCTTAACACAGAATAACTGCTATGATGCCTTCCAGTCAGGTTTTAGACAGAACCACAGCACTGAAACCGCTCTGACCAAAGTGTTTAATGACATATGGCTGAACACAGACAGTGGAAAAATGTCAGTCTTAGTTTTACTGAATCTCAGTGCAGCTTTTGATACAGTTGACCACAACATATTACTCAAACGACTGGAGAACTGGGCAGGTCTTTCAGGAACTGTACTAAACTGGTTCAAAACATACGTAGAAAACAGGAAATACTTTGTATCAATAGGTAACTTCACATCTGAGCAGACAAGTATCACATGTGGAGTTCCCCAAGGTTCCATCTTGGGACCCCTTCTGTTTAACATTTACGTGCTTTATAATCTGTGCCAGTGCACTGGCACAGATTATAAAGAACAACAAAATAAACTATCACAGCTATGCAGATGACACACAAATATATATCACAATCAAATGAGTTTATTTATATAGCACTTTTCACAGGATAAAAACCACAACGTGCTTCACAGTAATATAAAACAGAAATACATACAATACATTAATAATAAAACACACAGCACAAATCTAATTAAAAGCCAATCTAAATAAATGAGTCTTAAGCTGCTTTTTAAAAGAATAAATACAATCAAGGCAATGTAATGATGGAGGGAGAGCATTCCACAACCTGGGGGCCACCGCTCTAAAAGATCTATCACCTCTGGTTTTAAAATATGTTCGAGGGACTACCAACAGCCTTTGATTAGAAGATCTCAGGCTGTGAGAGGGAGCATGGGGTTCTAAAAGATCATAAATGTAAGCAGGGGCATCACAATCCAAAGCTTTAAAAGACAATGTCACCAGGAGACCGAGGCCCTGTACAGGCTCTTGGTAAATGCATTGAGGAAATTAATGACTGGTTGTGCCACAATTTTCTCCAGCTAAACAAAAACAAAACTGAAGTAATAGTCTTTGGTGCCAAAGAAAAACGATTACAGGTCACCTTAGAACTTCAATCTATACACCTAAAAACCACAAACCAGGTGAGAAATTTGGGTGTAGTGATGGAAGCAGTTTGACTGTTTTTTTAAACTTAAAACAACACAGTCAGCTTACTATCACCTCAAGAATATTTCAAGGATAAAAGATCTGATGTCTCAACAGGACCTGGAAAAACTAGTCCATGCATTCATCTTTAGTAGGCTTGATTACTGTAACAGCATCTTTACAGGTCTACCTAAAAAATCAGTCAGACAACTACAGCTCATTCAGAACTCTGCTGCTCGAGTCCTCACTAAGACCAAAAAAGTGGACCACATCAGTCCAGCTCTGAGGTCTTTACACTGGCTGCCTGTCCGTCAGAGGATAGACTTTAAAGTTCTGATGCTGGTCTATAAAGCTTTGAATGGTTTAGGACCAAAATACTTCAGCGACCTCCTGACCCAGATCCTCCTGGATCCGTTTTTTTTATCAGTTCCCAGAGTCAGAACCAGACACGGAGAAGCTGCATTCAGCTTTCATGCTCCTTATATCTGGAACAAACTCCCAGAAAGCCTCAGATCAGCTGAAACAGTCAGTTTATTTAAAACCAGGTTGAAGACTCACCTGTTCTCAGCTGCTTTTGAATAAAACACCAAATCCACACTTTTAAGCTTAAATTTCAAAACTTACATTTTAACTACTGATTTTATCTACTGTTCCTTCTTTTTTTCTTTTTTCAATTTTAAATCATGCTTTTTATTTGTTTTTGTTTTTTAATGTCTCTGTAAAGCACCTTGAATCACCTTGTTGTTGAATTGTGCTACATAAATACACTTGCCTTGCCTTTCTTATGGCATTTCTGGCTGTTGGTCACACATAACAAGCAACATGAAGACACAATTCAAATTTTGGTTGAAATTCTTTTTAACACTTTATAGAATAAAAGGCTAACCAACTAAATCATGTTTCCCCTTTGACATGACTGTTTCGTAATAGACTGTGTGTGTATCCAGCAAACAGTTCACCCACACCTGCCCAGTGTGGCGCTGTGCAGACATGTTTGCTAGGACATTAATAATAATTAAAGAAACGCCATACAGGGAGATGTGACTAGTGTGGAGGAGATGGAACCAAATGTTATATTACACTGTCAGAAAAATGAAGCTGAAAGAAGGCGACTGATTCAAAGCCTCCATGGTGTTGTAGTTCAAACATTGACCTGACAAACCAAATGTCCATTTGAGACTGGAAAAATATATAAATGCTTGGGGTTTGTGACAAGAAGGACATCCATGTAAAAATGAAATATGTGGTGCAACAAGAGAGCAGCAGAAAGTAGTGGGGTTTTTTTTCAGACTTCATACCATTTGCTGGTTGTAATGTACCAGGGAGCACAGGTGGGCCTTACACTGTGAGGCCAAGTCTGGTCCCCAGTATGGCAGCCCAGACCTAGAGCGTGGGCATACTGTGAGTACACTGCATAGCGGTACTGTGGACTCCTTTCTGCTTAGTGTGGGCAGCCCGCACTATGTGTTGCCCCTCTGGTGCCCATCTGTCCTGCCTCTCATGCCAGTACAGGGGTCTGCAGTTGGCTTCCCACTGTGAGCTGTGTGGGTTTCCATAAAATCTGAAACTCACACAGGCCCCAACCACCATATTTGCTGGGAACAGAAACACAGTAACAATGAACTCAGGTTTGCTACCACACACTTTTACTGTATAAAATGTGAAGAACAGCAGATCATTTCTTGTTTGCAGCAACCCTCAAAATCACCTTAATGGCATTCGTTAAAATGCACTCCTTTGTAAAATGTATATCTTCACTACGCTATCATTCGTATTTATAGAACCAAGACAAACTTGTTCAAAAAACACTGACTATAAACTGGAGGGCTGGTACATTTTTTTGTTTGTTTGTTTGTTTTCATACAGTACATGTTTTAAGTGCACAAAAGTCAAAAATCTACTAATCCAGAGTGAAAAGAATACAGGAGCCTTCATTCACTATAGTAACAGGCTAATAATTATTTGGCAAAGAGAACCAAGAAACTCAAAGGCAAATCTGAAAGTCACATGGGAGGACATATTAAAGGCCTGTTTCGGTACAAAAAATAGATATATAAACAATATACAAATACAACATAAACATCTAAGTTTCCATCCCTGTGAGTGTAGTACATATCATTTGTCACAATGACCACTGAAGGCAAATCATAAAGACACAGAGGGTCCTGGTGGCGTTTCTCTGTCTGCGTGCTGGAAGCAGCTTCAGAGCTCAAGACTGCGCTTCAGCTTCAGGATCGTCGTAGATGTAGCTGCCGACACCTCCGGTGTTTACGCCTGAGAAGGGTAGACCAGACGTTTAAATTTAAAGGGTCTGTTCACTCAAAAAACATACATTAACACGAAATAACCATTTGGCTGGTTATGGTTCACTTTGCAAAGGTTTTGGGATTGGTTCCTGAAAAATACAAACATCGACTCCATATAATTGTATCCTTCTTTGCTATAATAACATGGAGCTGGAGTATGATAACACAGACACAGCTTAAGATTTTCCAAAGTTTTCCAGCCTTGTAGACTAAATAATAAAGACTAACTAGCTGTCCATGTCAATTATAGTATTTACTAGACTTTTTAAATCCTCACACAGTTTTTTTTCTCTTCATATACATTTCACATCGACATAGATATTGTATTATAGGTCACATTGAATCTGATCCTTCAAGGTCATAAAACAGTGAGTATTTATTTCTACCCTGAAAGCTGACTAATACGACTGCCTCAGATGTATTTATGTCACTAAATTAACAGATTTTACAGATTTTTGTGGGACACAGTGGTTTGAGCCATTGTTTTAAAAAACAGTCCAGCACCAGCCTTCCTCGCAGCCCAGTCCCCCCCTCCCATACTCAGATTACATACCTTTTGGTCCAAACAGTACAGCATAGCATGGTTTGTGGCAGTAAGGCTGCCCATCATGCTGAAACACAGAGAAAACCATTCCTCTCAATTCTTCCATATTTGAAAATGTTTTCACTTAGTGTTTCATTCTACCTTAACTCTCAGCAACATTCAGTGTACATGAGATAGAAACAACTACAACATTTATCTGCTTTCTCTTTTTTCTACCAGCTGAAAACCCCAGAACACAATATGCTAAATATAAACAGCTTCTATTAACTGACATCAATCAAATTCAGCAACAAACACATTTTACACCTCAGCAACATCTCATCATGTGATGGCTGGATTGAATTTTAACACTAGACAGGCTCAGCTTATTTTTAACTCGTGTCTGGGGCACAATAACTGGATGGGGATGTGGCCACAGAGATGTTACACCTCACCTTTACTTTAGCCTGACAGACTAAATCCTTTGAATTACAGCTATACAAATTAAAGATGATTACATGAAGATGAATGTCAGTGATGTAGTGGCTCATCCGGTTCATGAGCCATCACGGCTCACGTTTACTGATTATAAAACGACAAATGGGATCTTAACCCTCAGAATGCTTTGGGTGTAAAGCCATTAGGGGATCATTTTGTGACTCTTGTGAACTGTCGGTGAACAGACAGACACTGATGTCTCACCATGTTAGAAGTTTATTGATCCTTTGGCTGAATTAACTAAAACATTTTCTTATGTGACTCAAATACTATATGTGTATTTTTGACAATCTACCTGTAGAACATCTAGGAACTGACTCTGTCTTTCACCCATGATGACGCCTTGACTAGACCCACAGTTACACACATATAATTACAGTCTCATTGTGTGCATTTTAAAACAGCAAAATGCCATCACTAGCACTGATGTTAAGTTAGTACAATTAAAATAATCTGGAGCCATAAACACAACCTGAAAAAAAAGAGAAACTCACTAAACATTTTTGGCATAATAATAAATTGAAAAATGGAGATCAGAGATTTATCATAATGTGTAGCTGGAGCTTGTGATAATGTGTCCTTTTCTATCTTGTGACATAATCTAAGTCAGTAAAGAAAACACAATACATGACTGTATGACAGAGAAAAGACGAAGATGTTGTGTATCTCTGTGAAAATTAAAATTGTGTTCAACGATTTCACACTCTGAGATCTTTCTTGATTAAACGAATACATTTTGAATATGACTAGAGTAACTGTCTGTGTATCTAATCAAAAACACTAACATTTTTACTAATACTCTGATTTCCAGCTTTGCAAACTGACTCATCTCTCACCTCTGCATGGCTGCCCGGTGCCAGAGTCTTATTGCATCTCTCACAGCGCAGACAAGGCCGGTGCCAGTTCTTCCCGAGAGATGACACCTTCTCAGCTGCACAGACAGAAACACGGACCATGGTAGAGACAGTCATTACACCGAGCAGAGGACTAAAACAGACAGTTTCCAATGCTTATGTAGAAATGTAGGACAAATACATGCTTGTCGCAGAATTTAAATATGAAACAGCATTCTGCTCACCAAAATACACTGTCTTGTTGCATCTGGGGCAGATGTTGGGGCCTCCAGAGAAAGATGAGAAGCTTGCAGCTGCAAAAGTTACAATGAATTAAACAAAAAAACTTAATAGTAACTACATCAGATATTTAGTGATTTAAATAGACGCCATTAGATAGAATTTGTGGTTTACATCATTTTAGTTGTACCGTAAAGCCAGAAGCCTAGAAACTAACTGAAAACAATATTGTTTTAAATAATTATAGGTATGAAGTAAGGTAATTTAATCCTGCCAGTTTTTGCAGCATTAGAGATTGCCTCAGTTCTCTAGTTTGAGATGTAATGATCAATCTGCTGTAGTGAGATCAGCACCTTTGCACCAACAGGAACATGGACTGCACCACTTTCTGAACAAACCATCAAAAAGATAATTAAAGACACATGTGTGTAGACCATCAAAATAAAAATAATAATAATGGCTACAGAAATAAATATGTCTGGGAAAATACACAGGAAAACATAAAATGTTTAAAAATGTCACAATAATAATAATAAAAACATGTAAAATTAAATAAATGAAAACGAAAATGAAAACGAAAATGAATTCATGTCAGTGCCCGTAAATGCATTACTTTGCTGTAGGATTACGGCACTAATTGATATTTTTACTTTAGCTTTGATTCTTCATATTTCTGTCCTTAGTTTTCTCCATTAATTCTCACTTTCCCTAAAACATATCTGGGGCTCATTTATTCCTTTTGTGTTCTTTAGTTTGCTGTTCCAAACCTGAATTAAACTGTATCCTGCCACAGAGGCACTGAGTTTCTCCTCCTTCCATATGACAGTTTTTCTATTTCTGCTCCACATATTTCTCACCCTTCACTGGTCCCCGTGCGGGGGCTTTTTTCTCCTCCTCTGGTTTGGCGTTTGTTTCCAAGGAAACGGCTGCAGGGGCTTCGTTGACAGGATTGTCGTACACGTAGGATCCAGCTCCACCGATGTTTACACCTAAAAACATCAAATGGTAGAATTCATAAATCTAAGTTTTATGAATCTGTGTTCATCGTCTGTATTTGCACATCAGGGAGAAACCCCACCTTTTGGTCCAAAGAGGGTGGCGTAGCATGGCTTGTGGCAATAAGGCTTTCCATCATGCTGCACAGTGTAAAGGGGACAGACAGAGGAAACATCCATTTCTTAACACATAGAATAGAATAGAACTTTATTAACCCCTGGGGAGGTTCCCTCGGGGAAATTGTGATTCCAGTTGACCTTAAATACAAATAAAAAAAAAATCAAGCAGATACAAATGGACTGAAGCTATACCTGTAACTGTTAATATTATGAACCAGACGGAAAAAAGAAAAAAAAAACGGCAGTTATATAAACTGTTGTTTTCAGTCTGTGTGGATTCACATAATCCTCCAAACTTGGACTGCATTTGAAGGCATTTGACTTTGTCTAACCATTTATTTTTATGGTAATAAAAGCCCTTATCTCACTTTTGTTTTTAGACATAAAATAAGCCTCACTGATTCAGTAAAAGTAATGCTCCTTGTCATCTAGACACTGTCATCGTTTATATAAATACTCTGTGGAGTTTTTTCAGTCATCCCAGGAATGTACATTCACACAGGATGTGTTTTTCAGCTAAACTCAATTGAACCGTTCAAGCAAATATGCATGTCAAAGTGGTTCACATGACAAGACCAAAAAAACTGAAGACTAACAATAAAACCATTCTGAAAGCAGACAAATGTGCACAACTACTACTACTACTGCACATTCACCCAGTGTACATACTATATGTATATATATATATATAATGTTCTTCCTCTACACTCCCTCCCCCCCCCCATTTTTGCACATGTCGAGGAGCGTGTCAGGCTACATTTCACTGTGTGTTATACTTGTATAACTATGCATGTGACAAATAAAGAACCTTGAACTTGAACTTGAACAATAAAGGCCAAAATGAAGCACTGTGAAGAAAATACGGAGATAATGGACAATAAAGTTGCTCTCACTGACTAAATCAATGCATTTTAGCAGCGTACAATGAATACCATTGTCAGCTCATCTGTGATTTTCAGTACATCCCTTCCTTCTTAAAATCTAATTAAAACACAGCAAGAGCCACAAACAGTTTAATCTGATAAGTCTGATGAGTTTTAAATAACAGGCTGCTGAGCTGTTAATTTTATGTACAGCTAATTTTGTACCGAGTTTGTTCTGAACAGACTGAAGAATATCATGCATTGTGAATGATGATGAGCTGTCATATGTGAATATAAATGCATTATAACAATGATTAAAGGGGGACACAGAGTACAAATCTTCGAGCTTATTTAAACATGATTAGGCTAAGCATACTCATTTTCATATAACTTGCACTACATGCACATAACCACGATTCAAGTCTATTTTCTTTAATCAACAGTTGAAACTGCCATCTCATCAAAGCACTAAGATGTGTGAAACCCTGTTGTCTCTGAGATTTACGCCTTCTGGTTTATGGTTCTCTACAACAATGTCAGACAATGTTAAACTCCTTAGTAAAGTACAGGTGCTTCCAGGTTTCTCAGAGGAGTGATGCACTGAAGATACACAGGTACTGACTTTCCTGCACAGTACATACGTGTTTTCAAAGACAGCACAGTAACTGTCCAAAAAATCCAGCTACTTTCTGCTGATGTTAAATGATCAGGTTTTTTGGTTGATTTCAAAAAGTCTGTATTTTACCATCAAACCAGGCTTACAGCCTCAGAGTGCATGGGACATTATTGTTCGCAGTCACGGTTTATTATGTTGATGCAATGTAGCCTACCAACATAACCTTTGAACATGAAATATTTGCACTTCATAAAACAAAAACAAATCATAACTGCTTAAGGAAAATGAAGCATATACACTCTTCACATCCTGTTACCTCAGCATGGCCTCCCGGATTCAGAGTTTTGTTGCAGCGCTCACATTTTAGACAGAACTTGTGCCAGTCTTTCCCTAAAGATGACACTTTCTCCGCTGTGGGACAGGAAGAGACAAAGATCGTTTGATGTTATATCGTGCTTTTGGTTTATGAAACATAAAATAAATGGACTTAGTCCTGGAATTTCTTATAATATAATGAAGTTAATGAAGTCACAAGTTCGTCACAGCATGCATATATAAGTCTTTGGATCCAAAACGATATCTGGACTAGTTTGCAATAATTCATTGGTAGTGTGTGTGTGTGTGGGTGGGCGGGGACGCTATAAACAATTTAGATTATTTGAATTTTGGGAAGAACCCACTGCAACCAGAAGACCCACAAAGGAAAAGAAATATGCAATCTCTACTCAGAAGGCTGGATTCAAACCCAGGACCTTCTTGGTGTGAAGCTCTGACCGCGGCACTACAGTTCTGCCCCCACTAACACACTAACAAATATTACTTACTTTTAAGTTGGATCAGTTTATAACTCTGGTAAAGTTTGAATTCAAATCTGTGTATAACCTTTTGAGTAATCCTGAAAACTAATAAACAAACTAACAAATCATACAGTACCAATCACATGGCACTCTTGACAGAGGGAATATGTTAATAAAATCTGATTATAAGTGCACTCAATGAAGTCTGAGTCATACTTTTACAAAATAAATGCAGTGACTGTTGAGAAAGAGCCATCCTCTATGGGTCAGTGCTTTAGTGCTTAGAAAAGAGCGCTGCCACTGAATGCAGAGAAAGGGGAAAATATTTTTTTTCTCTTTCTTTTTGTGCTTTATTTGTGCACCAGTGCAAACACTCCTCCACAGGCAGGATCCTTTTGCTGCTGCTTTGAACAGAACCCATCTTTTCTATGAGAAAAAGAAACATTTTGTCCTAAAAAAAAAAAGGTTATTTTGATACAAAAAGTAGCTATTTTTGCCATGAAATCAACCTTCACATATGGGTCCAGCAACCTTTGGAAGAAATGATATGCACTGTTATTAAGGTTTTTGTGGGGGTGTGTGTCAGCATGTGAAGTACAGTAGCAATTATATTTTCTGACACAACCTGAATACACAAGATAAGCACTAATGTATTCTGAATTATAACAGCCGAGTGTCGGTCGAAGTTACAGACGACATTTAATGGGCACTTATGAGTTCATATCAGCCTGAAGCACATTCTTTCCACTGCTTTCTAAAGGGCAGTGTGGTGACTCAGACATTTCCATTTTTCTTATTTATTCCTTTTTTTTAATAGAGCTACTGTCTGTTCTTTCATCCCTTCACATACTAAAGTTACCTTAATCTGAAGGTAAATCTAAATGTGAAGTCTTAAAAAATACCTTTTTTAAAATTTGGCGAGGTCGATCAGACAACTGATCTCTTTCCTGTCTGGATAATGGATGATCTTTGGATAATGTTAGCACAGCAGGGACTTTTGGAGGTTTTCCTCTGTTTCCAGTCTTAATGCTTAAAACCACAGAGTAGTGAATATATACCATATCAAAAACCCACAAAACTGACAACCAACTAGTCCTTTAACATTAAAACTGTGTTTAACGAAGGTGGAACTCATACACACAAAGCAAAAACTGCAGTAACTTTCACACATATATGTGTGACATGTCTAACACCACTCAGAAAAAGTTGGCATAAAGAGAGAAGAACTAAAACAACTTGTTTCACATGGAGGATGGAGTGAAGGACTTCACCGAGGCCAAGAATAAGATAGTTAACAATCATTTTCAACTTTGAATCCAGCACAGCCACTTTGATTGAGCCCTTTAATGAAAATACTGAATTGGAAATGAATGCAATCCCTTTTAGCATAATGGACACAAATACAAGTTGGAAATCACAGAAACTAGAGTGCACCTTAATGACACCTGCTGCAAACATAACACATAGTACAGTGTGTTCAAATTACTCTGTTGTCCAAGTCACTTTGCAACCCACTTCCACCCATGCTCTTCCCGTTCATGCTGCTCCTTATTAAGGTATTATCCATGGTCATGTGATACCTGCTCTGCTCTGTACAGGGGGTCTTGCTGTTGCTCTTTCCACCACCAACTTTTAATTTCTGCACATTATGGTAGGACAGAGCTGTACCACACTGTACCACCAAATTACCATAGATGGAAAGAGCTGTCTTCTGTGGACTACAGCGGTCATGACTGAACTGTTTTTTTTTCTACCCAGTTATTTATGTGACTGCAAGGGAAAAATACATACAGTGTGAGTCAAGAGGGAAAACAAATATTACTCTGTTCAGTCAAAAGAAAAACATCATAACCCCCTTTTTAAGACCCGCAGTTTCAGTCACAGAGACTTTTTTGTCTAAAAGACAGGAGGATGGACAGAGGGAGCGAGAAATTCACTGACAGTTGCTTATCTGTTTGTCCTCCTCCCAAAATATCTCAGCTGATACCCTGAGACTGATACAACATGACACTTCCTGTTTAGACTCAATGCCTGGCCTCCCTGTCAGTGTGATATCTGACAGTAAGTCACACCGACACACAGAAATATGCCTGGATGGTGAAGGGCTCCAGTCTGCACAGCATAACATTGGTTTTCTTCTGGGTTCTTACTCAAGGAACTGAATTTACTGAAGAAATCACATTAGCTCAGTTTATTATTTAAAAATCACATTATAGACTCCGTGTCTCGAGCATCATCTTCTTTATGGCTATCGAGAACTTTGCATCCAGAAATCCTAAAGGCTAAACTATCTCTACTGTAATAAAATCCCCTGCAAAACAACAGTATCCACTTCTAGGAGGAATACATTTTTGCCAGAACCTCGTTTTTTTTTAAAGCTTCTAATTTCCTGCAGAGTTTCAAAAGAGAGAGAGAGAGAGCAGCAGTTTGACTGAGCCTGCAGGGTGTGGTTTTGCTGTTGTTTTCCAGAGAAATGGGGAAGGGGAAAGAACAAAAAGAATATTGATCCATAAAACGAATTGGCAAATCAATCAATTATTTACCATGCCATATGGCATTGCACCCAAATGGAAAAAAGAAGAAGCTAAAAATAGATGTTAAATTAACTCCTTAGTATCATAGTACCTCACCCTATTTGACAGTATTGTCTACTATCAAGTGAATATAGTATCCAGTAACCAGGGATTAACACGCTTAAACTCATCCTACCTGCTTCTAAAAGCCAACATAAAAAGGATTTTTCACAAGCTGTCAGAAAACACAGCTGAGGCTATGACTACAGGTCTGTTAATGGCTCCCTGTAATCTTATCCAAAGATAGTGAACCCATCACTGCCTGATATGGGTTGTGTCGATATTCACCAGTTGTCTGTTGGACTCTGAGATTCACCATCTGGGGAATTTTTGGATCAGTTTTAGAGAAAAACTGTCACTTTGATTTCACATCCAATCTGGCAACATGTCCGTGGTACTCAGCTGTGAATTTCTCTGACATTCTGTTGGACTGCTTTTAGGACCCAGAGTTTTGTATTGTAATGTAGTTACATGCTTATTTTGATATATTCTGTAAAAGACTTTCAAGCTTTAAATCAAATTTGACAGGTTAAAATAGTTAATAAAAAAATTTACATGCCTTTACGTGGGTGAAATTATGCCCCATACAGTGACAGAGGATGCCACTGTATAAGGCATCCTCTGTCACTTTGTCTTTATATGCCACTGTATAAAGACAAATAATATTCATACTGTATATTTTAAAGTACTTTGACTCAGTGACACGACAGTAACATTTTCACACTGTAAATATAAATATCACTGATGTGGAGATTATGTTGTGACACTTGTATATAATTAGTTTGACTAATACTGGCTTGACTGATCAGCTGTTATTACCCCAACAAAGATAGACAACACGGTAAATGTGTGGTCCAATAAAAAGGATGCAAGAATGTGATCGATGAATATAAAGACAGACTCTATTAGTTAGTTTGCCCACAAGATAACATCACACAAAACCTCAAAGGATTCCAGTTAAAAATCTCTTTGTTCTGTGCAAATGGTAAAGGAAATAATGAGTGATTTAGTGTGAATGCATTTTTAATGTACTACCAATAAATAATTCATATGTGTAAATGAATTCAAAAATCCACCATTCACGATTCTAATCATTGTTTCCACCTAACACATAATAAAAATCATCCAACAGGATGAATGAGTGTCTTAAATAGTTATGTCTCTCTGTGTGTGGGAGACTCGATAAGCCTATTTATAACAAAACAATGCCCATTTTGATCAATGGGTGGAAATCTTCTGTAGAGCTCTAAAATCAGTGATGTATCCGCAAATTCTCATTATGTTGTATCCGAGAAAACACGTTATCGATTATAAGTAAAAGTCGATTTAAAGAATACTGCACTGTCAGTCTTTCATATTATAACCACCCCCCGGTTGACTATAACACTCCCACCCAGCGGTCATCGCATCTGTTAGAATCATGATGCTGGGCGGCCTCTGCAGCGGCTGCTCACTCACCGAAATACACCGTTTTCTCGCATTTTGGACATTTTGACGCCATGGTCGGTGTAAAGAGAGGAACAGGATCTTTTTCTGTTGGTCCTTTCTGTCTGTCTGCAGCTCCGGCGGCGCAGACACACCTCAGATGATGCTGACGGCGGCGGTGACTGTGATGAGACTGCGCCTCACATCCACCCTCTGCTTCTTCTCTTTCAATTGTATAACTCCGCCCTCGGGGTGACATCATGCAGCTCGCAACCCACCAGACAAAAATGTACATTTATGCCTCTGCATATCCTGTAAAAGCTTTTTCAAAAAAAAAAGAAAAAAAAAAAGCCTCGGCCAAATTATCACATTGCTTTTTACATTATCATCATTTCCAGAGAACATCTGCTGAATGCGCTGCTGCCACTCAAATTTCTCAATATAGTACCAGCATCAGCCCAAGGCTCTAGTTACACTTTTAAAAACCAAGAGAGCATTAAAGAAAGTTTTTATTGCACACGTTCTACTCCATTAATTATTGTAAACCCATATGCACATATATACATTGCTGTGCCAGCCTCTGGTTTGGAAATCTGGTTAATCTGATATCCTAGCAAAGTTAGCTCTTCTGCATTAATCAGTGTCGCCTTTTAGTTCTGTTTGTTTCCCCTGTGTGGTTGTTAGGTTACACAGCATAGCTCTGCAAAGGGAATGTTAAGTGATGCTCCGCAGCTCCCAAGTATATTACTCCGCATTCTTGGCCCAGAGATACCAGGGAGCTGACAGACAAACGACTTTTACGTGGGGTTAAGAATAAAATGTCAACACTAAATTATTTGACTATTTTAGACAGAAAAGGGCAAAAAATTCAGAGAAATCACCAGGATATGAAAATTGTCCTCACAAAGTGGCAAATTTAGAATATTAAATGTCTCAAAATGACACAACATATTACTATGAAGATATGGAACACTATGCAACATAACCAAAAATAAAACAGAAACAGTAATAAAAACACAGTGTATACAGAAAAAATGTAATAGGATGATATTTCTTTAAATGCTTGGTAAGTCATTGACAGTGTAGTTGTATCTTTCTCTTAGTTCTACTAAACAAACCAGCTGCTGACAGGCGTTTGATATTTTCCATCTGCACTAGAGTGCCATCAATAGTCTCAATATTTAAGTTATCTCAAGATCAACTAACCCAGGTGTTGCACATTGATGTTACATCTTTGAGTTCAAACATAACTAATAATAATTTTCAGTTAGAGGGAAAAGTGAAATAGCTATCCTTCAATGCTGTTTAAAATAAATGCAGCATAAAAGATCACTTTAATTTACGTAGTGCCATTCACAACAGTCGTCACATAACACCCCTCTATGAGCAAGAACTTGGGAAAGAAAAACTATCTTTTAACAGGAAGAAAGCTCCAGCTGAATATATATATATAAAATTCTGAAGTGTAGTCGGATGGTAACAAAGAGAGGGAAGGTAGCCAGAAAAGAGGGGATAAAACTACCAGAAGGCAACATTGCAGACATAGAGGACAGTTACAAGTACCTGGGGATCCCGCAGGCAAATGGGAACCATGAAGAGGCCGCTAGGAAAGTTGCAACCACCAAGTACCTGCAGAGGGTCAGGCAAGTCCTGAGGAGTCAGCTGAACGGTAAGAACAAGATCCGGGCTATCAACACCTATGCCCTGCCCGTGATCAGGTGCCCTGCTGGGGTAATAGGCTGGCCAAAGGAGGAGATAGAAGCCACTGACATCAAGACAAGAAAGCTCCTTACCATGCATGGAGGGTTTCACCCCAAGTCCAGCACCCTGAGGCTGTACGCTAAGCGGAAGGAAGGGGGCCGGGGACTGGTGAGTGTCAGCATCACAGTCCAGGATGAGACAAGGAACATCCAAGAATACATTGGGAAGATGGCCCCAACTGACCGAGTGCTCAGTGAATACCTCAGGCAGCAGAAACCCAAGAAAGAGGAGGGAGACGAGGAACCATCATGGAAGGACAGGCCCCTGCACGGTATGTACCACCGACAGATAGAGGAGGTGGCTGATATCCAGAAATCCTACCAGTGGCTGGACAAAGCTGGACTGAAAGACAGCACAGAGGCACTAATCATGGCAGCACAGGAACAAGCTCTGAGCACAAGATCCATAGAGGCTGGGGTCTATCACACCAGGCAAGACCCTAGGTGCAGGCTGTGTAAAGATGCTCCAGAGACAATCCAGCACATAACAGCAGGGTGCAAGATGCTAGCAGGCAAGGCATACATGGAACGCCATAATCAAGTGGCCGGCATAGTGTACAGGAACATCTGTGCCGAGTATAACCGGGAAGTCCAGAGGTCAAAATGGGAGATGCCCCGAAGGGTGATGGAGAATGACCGAGCTAAGATCCAGTGGGACTTCCAGATACAGACGGACAAAATGGTGGTGGCTAACCAGTCCCAGCCATTCACCACCTGAACCCACCCATCCAAGTTTTTTAATTCAGTTTACTGAAACCCACATAAAATGAATAAAGCATTAGGAGACAGTGAGCAGAGAATATTCAACCAGAAAACTGCATCAGTAAAACTTTTTTTATTAAGTCTCCTTGGCAGACACGTAGTGTAAACACACATAAACTTTAGCAAAGATGGAAACAGTAGCAGGTTTTTTTTGTCTGTGGTTAGTACATTTGGTCTTGAGCCAAATGGGGCCTGGGAATGCACTAATCTTAAAATAAACACCTACGGATGGCGTCTGTCTGAAACCTTTGGCACAGATATCCACATTAACTATATGTCATTGGTGAAGCAGAGGCTCAGCTCTGAAGCGGCTTCTGTCTCTGATCAACCTAAAAGGCTCTCATATTGCATTTCATGTGTATGAAAGCTACACAAGGACAACCTGATTGTTTTTAGGAGATATAATTTATTTTAAAAGTGTGGGACTCCTGACTCTGTTTGGACCCTTGCTCAAGTTGTTCAGCTTGCCAAGTGCAATATGGGCAAGGAATAAACACATAAATAAGTACAACAGTATTTTATTAATATAACTACACTAATAGTCTGCAACTACTTGCCAACAAAAAAATAGGCAGCTGTGCATCACTGTTAGCCCTCGTGGCTTCATTTGGCTTTTAAAGGATGATGATTTTGCTTAATGTTTAAATATTAAAAGCAAGGTCCAGTTCAGGTAATTTAATTGAGCAAAAATAACACCAAGAAGAGAATAATACAGCACAATACAGAAAGAAAAGAAAAACAAGAAAGAATTAGCTTGTAGCTAATTGCTGTTACGTTGTTAAAAATAAAAGGACTACAATTTGTTTAACTAAGTGATAGAAGATGGGGAAACAGAGATTTTTAGAATGTGTTACTCTATAATTGTGTTATATAAGGGGGTCCAGAAAAAGAAACTAAAAGTTATGATACAGGAATACTGGGTTAAATCACCAGTCAGTGACACTTTGTTACTTTTATGGAGGAAAGTAAATTTAAGATGAGCATTTGTGTTATTTCTCATGGGACACTATTTGAATTTACTTTTGCAGCTCTCTGTTAACATAAACACAAAACACAGTAACCACTGGTGCAAGTGTTGCTATGAAACAATGAAAAACACATTCTGCAATAGCAACATGACTTTAAAGATAGATCATCCAAATACTCTGGATAATATTCTGGAGGAAACAGATATAGTTCACATTGGACCTGCTTCTTTGACGAGATCTGTAAAACAAACAAACAAAAAAAAAGGATGATGGAGCTGTTAAATCAAAATCTCGAGTTTCCTATTAATTTCCTCCTTCATCTACAGGTGCATCCAGTGAAAACCTGTGACACCTTTTTATCAGTGATCAAAATGTGAAACACGACTTCATCCACAGCTTTTGACACAGTATGCACACTGTGATTTGAAGAGAGTAGGGCCAAATTGCAGTTACAGTAGAGCTTTTTGACATGCAAGTCGAATCAGCTTGACACAGAAAGTTGTTATTTGCTCGCGCCACAACTTTGAGATCAGTGGTGAAACTGCCTTAAAATCTTGTATTTCCCATCATTCCAAGGATTCAGGTAGACATTATTTGTCAAAAAAAAAAAATTAGATGTGATTTTCTTGGGTTTTTTGTAGTGTATGTATATTGTCCCTTCTATAAACATAAATTGAGACACACAAGTATTTTTAATTTCAAGTGCTGAATGTTGCATTTGTAAGCATATACAGAACAATTCTCTCAAGAAGTGGATGCTTTACTAGTGTGACATAAATTATACTAGAAAACAAACAAACAAAAAAATCCCAAACACTAACAGGACAGGAAATGGATAGAAAACTGTGATCAGATTCTTTCTTAATTTTGAGAATATCTCAATAATTTAATTATATTTGACTTCCTTGCTTTAACAGATGTAACTGCATTGGTCTAACAGTGAGAAAAGTAGATTTTAATTTAAGTGAGACATTTGGACATTTAGGTAAATGATGCTTTACCCTGCTGAAATAACTCTCACCCCTGCTCTCTTGAGCGAGACACTGAAGTCCATCTGTTCCTCTAGAGCTGCCCTGAGGTTGAACTCTGAGTTGTTCTGCTCTTATTTAGATGTTTTGATTATAAAGATGACAGTTTGAATGCTTGAAATGTCTGTGACTGTGGAGTGTTGTAAAACTGAAGGATTGAATCAAGTCTCATTGACTGTAATTGTGTTTTAATATTTACCAAACAAGGTTCTGAAGCAGGCATTGACTCTCTCATTTCATTTTTAGCAGTTTCACAGGGGTGAGGACCCAGACGCAGGGCACAGAAAACTGGGAACAAGTCCAAAATAGATATTTTTATTCAAGAACATTCAGTGTTCATGTACAAAAAGACAGGCAGCATTGGAAAAGAAAACACAAACAGAGCAAGTAATTAATATATCATTCTAAAACAATACACCCATTTGTACTTACCTTTCATCAAATTTTCATAAAGTCTACATTTGAATTGTATTTTTTTTTTAAATATTCTTTACTCTCACACTCTTAAACACTACCACAGCTGTCATATGCACATCTAAAAATTAAGTTCATGCAATAACAATTGTAATTCCTCAGATCCCCCCTTGTCTTAATGATAGAGCTGTAATACCAAGAATTCTGTTGACTTAAAATCTCTGCATTTTTCATGGATTTCCTTCCTGGCTTCACATAAGCTACACTTGCCACAGGTATTTTCTAGTTTTAGCCATACAGT